ATGATTAATATAGGTCCAAAGGGTGAACATTTCGTGGTAGAGGTTAATGTAGGTGGCCGCAAAGTGGGTGCCTTTGCAGACATAGGCTTTATACGAAATTTCACCAGCCGTGCTTGTGTGGATAGACTGTGCTTAGGGGACCAAGTGCTGCAGCTTAGCAGAGCTGTAGCTTCTACACTAGCCAACAAGCACCAGATGTTAGTTAAAGACTATGTCAAGGACGTAGTTTGTACCTTCTCTTATAGAGGAGTGGAAGTGAGACATAAAATCTCATTCCTCATTAGCGACGAACTGCCCTTCGATATGTTACTAGGCATGTACTACCTCGAGGTTGCTCAACCTCGATTTGATTGAGATAGAAAGGTGTTGATCCAAAAGCTGCCCAACGGTAGAACCGTTAGATTGCAAAAAAGTTTAGAGCTAGCAGTCTAGTGGAAAACTACGGTTGCATGTGCGCATCCTCTTTCTATAACTACTATAAGCAGAATCGTGAGGAGGGCATGTATCTAGTCTTTGTCTCTGAGAAAGGAGAGGCCGTTAAAACACCCCCAGAGTTAGAATCAATCGTCTCACAATATTCCGACCTTTTTTAGGAGCCCATAGGCGTGGTGGAAAGGGAGGTGGTCCATGCGATAGAGGTTGTCCCAGGTAGTAAGGTGCCTAGATGACGAATCTATAGGATGTCTCCTGCGGAGTTGGATGAGCTTCGCCGCCAGCTCAAGGAGCTCACAGAAAAGGGATGGATTCGGCCTAGTACCTCCCCTTACGGTGCGCTAGTCTTATTTGTCCCTAAAAAGGGGGTACCCTGAGGATGTGCATTGACTATAGGGGCCTCAATGCCATCACCGTTAAGAACGCCAAGCCCCTATCCCGCATCGACGACCTATTGGATAGAGTGCAGGGATGCCAATACTTCACAAAGATAGATCTGAAGTCCGAATACCATCAAATTCCCATTAGACCTGAGGACCATCACAAAACTGCATTTCAGACCAGGTACGGTCTGTACGAGTTTGTGGTGATGCCCTTTGGCCTATGCAATGCACCTGGAACAGTCCAGCACGCAATGAACAGGATCTTTCATGAGTACTCAGACAAGTTTATCATCGTGTACCTCCACGATATTTTTATTTTTAGTAGGACTGTAGAGGAGAATGCTGAGCACTTGAAAATAGTGCTAGGCCTTCTAAGACAGCACACCAGTACAAGATCAACTTGGATAAATGCGAGTTCGGTCGCACCAAGATCTTGTACTTGGGTCATGAAATCTCCGCGGAAGGGTTGAGGCCGAACGATGCCAAAGTGGCCAGCATACAGGACTGGCCCAGACCTCAGACTGTTACTGAGGTCAAACCGTTTTTGGGGATGACGGGCTACTATCGTCCGTTTGTTAAGAACTTTAGTACTATAGCTTCCCCATTAACAGATCTAACTCGACTCGACACCCCTTGGGAGTGGACTGAAGAGTGTGAAGCGGCCTTCAAGAAATTGAAGTATGCGCTGACACACTACGAAGTCCTCAAACTTCCGGATCCTGAACAGCCCTTTGTTGTGACCACAGACGCCAGCCAATATGGCATAGGCGCGGTTCTTGCCCAAAAGGACGGGAAAAAGTTGAGACCGATCGAGTACATGAGTAAAAAGATGCCATCTTAGAAACTAGCTAAGTCCACTTACGAGCGTGAGCTCTATGCCCTGTACAGAGCGCTAGTCCATTGGAGACACTATCTCCTTGGTAGATTTTTCTATGTAAGATCTGACCATGAGACCTTGCGTTGGATCAAGACACAACCTGTACTCTCTGACGCACTTAAGCGGTGGATTCAAGTGATAAACATGTATGACTATCAACTTGATCCAATAAAGGGAGAGTACAATAAAGTGGTCGATGCACTATCACGTCGGGCAGATGATTTGGGCGCACTAGTGACTGAGTTTGGTATATCTGACGATGTAACTCGATCCTTGGTGGAAGCCTATCTGCAAGATCCAGTCATGTCTGAGATCATTCGTAGATTTCAAGCGAAGGATAAGGTAACCTCCAATGAATGTACAATGGTAGAAGGCTTACTGTTTCTTGTGAAGGTAGGGAATAAAAGACTGTGTGTTCCGAATAGTAGGTCTTTGCGTAGTTTGTTTCTAGGAGAATGCCATGATGCAACTGGCCATTTCGGCTATAAGAAGACTTCAGCTAACCTTGTGCAGAGATTCTGGTGGCCTTCTATGATGCAAGATGCAAAAAGGTACGTAGAAACCTGCCAAGTTTGTGAACGGGACAAACCTAGGACTCAGGCTTCGCTTGGGCTCATCAAGCCCTTGCCGATTCCTGAAGGTCCTGGTCAGAGTGTGTCCATGGACTTCATGGATACTCTTGTGACCAGCAGGTCTGGAAAAAGGCACATTTTTGTTATAGTAGACCGCTTCTCTAAATATGCAAGACTAATCGCTATGCCTGAAACTGCCAAAACTGACTATGTCATCAGACTGTTTATGGATAACTGGGTACGGGACTTTGGTTTACCTAAGTCCATAATCAGTGATAGGGTTGTTCGCTTTACCAGCGAACTGTGGAAAAACACCGCCCAACAGATGGGAACCAGACTGCAAATGACATCAGGGAATCACCCTGAGTCAAATGGACAGGCGGAACAAATGAACAGGTTAGTGCAACACCTGCTTAGGCACTACATTAAGCCAAGCCAGGATGACTGGGACAAGAAACTACCTCTCGTCGCCAGCCTGTACAACAACGCTGTACACAGTGCTACTGGCATGACTTCCAACCAACTGCATCTTGGTTGGAAGCCCCGTTCCGCGCTTGATTTCCTACTACCTGAGCAGCAGACCACTGCAGCACCAGGCAGCGTAGAATTTGTTGTCAAGTATGAACAAATGTTGCAACAGACCGTCGAGCATATGAGGAAATCTCAAGATGCTATGATTGCGCCTGAGCATAAACACAGACGGCCTTCTAACGTCCAGGTAGGGGACAGGGTCTGGGTAAAATCATCTGAACTGGGACAGGATTTGGGAATATCTAGAAAACTAATGCCACAGTATTTCGGTCCATGGGAGGTCCTAGACATAGTGGGGGATCAGATAGACGGACCTTCTTATGTGATTCACGTCCCGCCTCATCTATGCACACACCCAGTTTTTCACACATCCAAGCTGGCACCTTTCACAGAGACTGCACAGTTTCCCTCCAAACGGTCAATGCTGCCCCCAACCATGGATGGCGAAGTCGACATCGACGGAATCGTAGAGCATCGAGTGATGCCAATGCCTAAACCGCGGGGCAAAGGCCGCCTTCCTAAGCCAAGAATGCAATACCGTGTGAGATTCAGACATCATCTGGATCCCAAGAAAGATCGGTGGTTCACCAGAGAAGAACTCATGCGAACAGCACCCCAAGTTATTGCAGGCTATGAAAACAACTCAAGGGAAAAACGCCTGCAGATTAGAAGGCTTCTCAGAGGACTATCGAAGACAAGGAGGAGGGAATGCAGGGATCTGGGTCCTCGGCAAGCCTAAGGGGCCTCTTGCTACAGATGTGCCCACCCTAAGTGAAGGCGGGCCTGACAAATCACTAGAGGCCCTAAGCTGTCAATATCGTATTTGGGGTCCAGGCAGCTTCGTCCTGCCAGTTGGTTGAGGAAAACACAGGCCGAGCAGCGAGACATTCCACGGCCTTCCAGGCCTTTCCAAAATGATGCAGGTCCTGGACGAGAATCGCAGCCTCGTACGCAGACAGTTGGGAGGCCCAACCGAATGAGGCCCAGTAGCTGCAACAGAGGCGCAGCATCCTGGGTCCTACCGGAAGCTTCTGGGCCCAGGCCCAGGCCAGCCAGGCTGCGAAGGCAGGCCAGCTCATTCCATATAGGGAAGAGCTTGCTGCCTGTCCTCTCATTCAGGCACTCGCATGCTAGCAGCAGCGCTGCTGGAGCGGACGCTCGTGGGCTGCTGCTGGCACTGAGAGGCAAGGTGCTAGCGCGTGCGGTCGTGCAGAGAGCAGGGCGCTGCTGAGGGGAGCGCCATAGCCCAGCCTCCATAGCTGGTCGGGCTTGGACTACAGTGAGGCGCAGGGGTGGTCTTCGGGTATACAGAGGGAAGACGCGGGAGTAAGAAGAGGGAGAGAGAGAAGGATGATGATGATGATGATGTGAGGGCACATACCTGGTATTGGCGATGGTCTGCTATGGGCGACATCTTCAAGTACTTCGTGGGCTGCTGACGTCAACAGTTGCATTGTCAATTAGTAGGCAGACTGTAGCTGTGTAGGAAGTAGGCTGGGCGCCG